CCACCTCCTCCCCCGCCTCCCCCTCCTCCTCCTCCTCCCCGCACAGGTCGGAGCCAGAGGCGGGGCCCAGCCCCGCGCCCGCCGCCTCCTGCCGTCGCGCCTTCATCGCCGCCAGCTGCTCCTGGCGCGCCGCCGCCGCCGCCAGCACCTTGAACTGCTGCTGCACCAGGCCCCGCATGCAGTCCCAATAGCGCGACTGGATGCGCATGACCTGCGGGGAGGGGGGCAGGGAGAGATGCGGGGGCAGGGGGCAGGCAGGCGGGCAGGCAGGGTCGCGGCGAGCGGTGGCCGCAAAGCTCAACATTGCCTGTGGCTGGCCGCCACCGCGCAACAACTCCCCCAGCCACCCAGCCATCCGCCCCCGCCGCTGCGGCCCACGGCAGCCCCGCCAGCCGGCCCCGCCGGCCGGCACGCGCCCCAGCCACACCACCAGCCAACATGAGCCCCAGCCCTCCCCGAACAAGCGCCCGGCCGCCGCACCTGCGCCACCGCCGCCATGCCGTACTCACACGCCGCCTGCTCTCCGGGCGGCAGCGCCGGCGGCCGCTCGCCCAGCAGCACGCGCACCACCGCCTCTGTGCCCTTGGCTGTGGACAGCAGGTTGTAGCCTCCCTCCAGGAGCGCCACGGTGGGGGCCACCAGCTGCAGCTGGGCCGCCATGTGGGCGTAGCACTCGGGGGTGAGGTGGCAGCCGCCGATGGGGTCCCCCTCCGCCGCATCAAAGCCGGCAGAGATGATGACGAGGTCGGGGGCGTACTCTGCGGGTGGTGGTAGCGGTGGTGGTAGGTGGGTGTGGGGTGGGGGAGTGGTGTGGTGTGGGTGTGCTTGGGTGTGAGGGCAAGGCGAGGTCAGGGGGTGATGGAGGCGTGCCAGGCAGCCCCCGGCCCCAGCAGCCGCGCCGTGCAGCCGCGCCAGGCAGCCCCCTCCCCTCCCCTCCCCTCCCCCCCACAAGCAGGCGCAGCGGCTCACCGTAGGCGATGGGCAGCAGCAGGTGGTGGAAGGCAGCCAGGTAGTCGCCGTTGCGCATGCCGCCGCAGGGCCAGGGCACGTTGACGGTGTACCCCGCGCCCTCGCCCTCACCCACCTCGTGCGCCGCGCCGGTGCCGGGGTAGAAGGAGCCGCTGCGGGGGCGGGGGTGGGGTTGGGGGAAAGGGGGAGGGGAGGTGGCGAGGCAGGGCAGGTTGTGGGGGGTGCGGAGGGCAGGCACAGCCCGTGTGGCAGGCGGGCGAGTCGCAGGCGGAAGCGGGCAGGCGGGAGGCGGCAGGCGCGCGGGGCAAGCCGCCAGGCAGGGGGAGCATGGCAGCTGCCCGGCAGCAAGCAGCAGGCGGTTGTCCGGCGCGCGGCGCGGCGCCTGCGCCGCACCCGTCGTGTCTGTGCAGCGACATGTAGAGCACCGAGGGGTCGCCCTCAAAGATGTGCTGCGTGCCGTTGCCGTGGTGCACATCCCAGTCCAGGACCAGCACGCGCTCGGCGCCCGCGGCCTGGGGAGCGGGAGGGGAGGGGAGGGGGCACCAGGGTCAAGACAGGGGGAGTGCGACTGCGCGCTGCCCACCGCGCGGCTCAGCCCAAAAGCCGTCGGCTGGCCAGGCCCTCCCCCGATGTGCGCTGCTAGCCGCCACCAGCCACCAGGGCCAGGCAGCCACCAGCCCCAGCCAGGCGACTGCCCCTGCCAGCCAGCGCCGCTCGAGGCCACGGCAGCGGGCGGCGCCCCCGGCTGTCGCCAGCCACACCCGCCCCGCCCTTGCGCCACCCCCACCCCCACCTGCGCTGCGCGCGCCGCGATGCCCGCATTGTTGAAGAAGCAGAAGCCCATGGCCGTGTTGCTCTCGGCGTGGTGGCCGGGGGGGCGCACCACCGCCACGCCCGCGCGCGCCTCGCCGCGAACCACCGCTGCCGCCACGTCCACGCACGCCCCGGCAGACAGCTTGGCACACATCGCAGTGTGCTGGTTGACGTACGTATCTGCGGGGCGGGCAGGGGCAGGCGAGCAGGGGCAGGCAGGTAAGAGTGCGGGCGCTGCCAGCGGTGGTGCAGCAGGAAGCGGCAGCAGAGCGTTGCTTCCGGCGCGGGGCGCGCGCCCTCCGGCCCACCCCAGCCAGCCCCAGCCCCGCCTGCTGCCCCCCACCCTCCGCGCCCCCCTCGCTCCTCTCCCGGCTGCCGCCGCCGCCGGCAAGGCAGCCGCCTGATGCCTGCCTGCCGCTGCCCGCCGCCCCACCTGGGGAGAAGTGCAGCCCTGCGCCGCCCTGCAGCCGCGCCTGCTCCGACAGCACATCCACCGCCTCCAGCAGCTCGGGTATGTGGCAGGCCTGCACCTCGGCCGGCGTGGCCTCCCGCGCAGGCAGCCGCCGGCAGCGCCCCGCCAGCTGCGCGGCCTGCAGGCGAGCCATGACGGCGCGCACGCGGTCGGGGCGCTCGGGGTGCATGCTGGGGCCGCCCTCCTCGTGAAGCTCCATGCGCTCGTCCCAGCACAGCACAGCCAGCGCGTCGCCCTGGGGGGGGAGCGGCGGGGAGGGGAGGGGCGGGGAGGGGTGGGGCTGGCGGGTGGAGAAAGCCGGCGGGTGGAGGAAGCCGGCATGGAGGGAAGGGGCTGTGCGTGGAGCCGGCAGGCAGCACGGGCGGCACAGGCGCAGGCACAGGCACAGGCGCAGGCGGCGCGGGAATGCGGGCGCGCGGGGGCCGCGGGCGCGCACCTGCAGGCGCGGCCGGTGCAGCGCCGTGGCCGAGGCGACGGTGGGGTGGAAGATGTCTGCGTCGTGGGCGGGCATGTGGCCGCAGTCCTGCACACGCAGGCAGGCGGCGGCGGCAGGGGATGAGCGCGGGCATGGAGGCGTCGCGCGCTGCAGGCCCGCGCTCGCAAGCGGCGCGCGGCGCCGCTGCCCCCGAGCCCCCTGCTGCTTGCTCCCGAGCCCCGCCCCGCCGCTCACCATGCAGATGTGGCCCCACAGCGTGCCGGTGCAGTTGGTGCAGTGCTGCATGCTGAGCACATCCATGTCGTCGCCGCTCTCGTAGCCCGCCGCGCTGGCGGGGCGGTCGAGCGGCCGGCTGGAAGGCTCCTCCTCGGAGCTGCCGGGGCTGGTGGAGGGCTGCTGCTGCTGCATGGAGACGGCGGCGGTGGGCGGCCCGCTGCCGCCCATCTCGCTGAGCGGCACAAAGCCCGACAGCGGCTGCTCGCCGGGCGGCTGACGCAGCGCCGCGGCGAGGCTCAGCGCGGGGCTGTGGCTGCGCGACAGCGGCTGGAAGCCGTCCACAACCATGGCGTCTGCGCCTGCCTGCTGCTGCTGCTGTGGGTGCTGCAAGGCTTCCGCAGCCGGTGCCGATGTGGGCAGCGGTTGTGTTGCAGCGGCTGGCGGAGGGGGCGGGGGCGGCGCCGACACGTCGCCCGCGGGGTATGCCGCCTCCAGCTGCGTGTCCAGCGGCAGGCTGGCCGCTGGGCTAAGCGGCTGGCCGCCACCCAGCTCCGAGACCATTGCTGGCCTGCAGCGAGGGGCACAGCGCGCAGGTTTGCAGGCGTGAAGCGCGCGGGGGAAAGGGCGTCGGTGTTAAGGGCGGCCACCCCCAACGCAACAGCCAGCTGCCTAGCTCAGAGGCGCCCGATGGCCGGTGAAGCCACTCCGCAGGGCCTGCCCGCCGACTGCGCTTGGGGCCCGGAGCGCAGGGGCCCGCTCAAGCAGGCGGGCCAGCGCGTGATGAGGAGGTGCTGCCGCCGGGCGCCCCTCGGCGCCGGGCTCCCCGCCCAGGCCCTGCGTGTCCCCGGACCGCCCGAAAGGCGCCCGTGCCGCGCCGGCGGGCCCGCCCAGCAGCGCCCGCGGCCCAAATTTACCTGGAGTTGGCAGAGGCCTGCCGCAGCGCTCAGGCACGGGGCTCCCCTATTTGTAATTTGAGAAACGAGAAGTGTTGAGCCGCGCCGGGCGGCGGGAGGAGCACCGGAGAGGTGGAACTCGGACTGGTGAGGAGCGGCAGTGCCCTGCACGGGCGGTGCGCGCGGTGGGGAAGGAATGCAAGCCTGCCAATGGCAGAATAACGGCCCGCGCGGCGCAGCCAGCGCCAAAGTTGGGAGCACCGGCAGGTGGCGGCAGCGCACCGAGCGCGCCTTGCACCCAAAGGCCAGTGCGCTATGCTTCTTGGTGCTTGCTTACGCTTGCATGCCAGCAGCCCCACGATGTCGGCTTTCATGGCGCCAGTGGCAGGCAGGAGGATCACGGCGGCTGTGCAGAAGGCCCACGGAAGGCGGTGTCGGTTTGGCCGCCGCCGACGTGTGCCGCGGCCCAGCAGGAGCAGCGAACACCAACCTCTTTGTTTGCGCGACTGGAAATTGGTTAACTAAATTGCACTGGTGGCATGTGGTGATGGTCATGGCTCTATTCTTCTCATCTGACCCCACACTACAGGCTTGACAGCCCCTATAGTGCAGGCGGCAATGGTGTGCGGTTTGGCGGCTCTGGCTTCTTTCGGTTGCTACTGTGACGCCAACGCCAGTCTGCCAGCCTTTGAAAGCAACCAGACTGGTAGATCTGCTTCAAAACATCTCTGCAGCCGAATGTAGCATATTCGATTGGCTTAGCCTGCCCGCAGCCCCTTTCCGTCGGGTGCGCCGCCCGCCTCGGCGCGCTGTGTCCTGCTGCCCAATCCCGGCCTTGGCCAGGCTGCTCGCCTGTGGCCTGGACTTTTGTTGGGCGCCTTGTGCTCCTGGAGGAGCACCTCACGGCGCTAGTCCTCTCCTGCTGACATATTGTAGCATGGTGGTGGGCGCGGTGCTGCGGCACCCGCTGGCCCACGGCCTGGTCGTGGGCCTGGGATTCTCATCCTGGTTCATGGGCAAACGCGACAGTTTCAGCGACATTCTGCGGCTGGCGGGTGAGCCCAGAGCTTGAGGCGCGGCAGTGAAGCGCTGCTGCTGTGTCTGCTTCTTGAATCCTCCTGTGTCTGGATGCATCGTGGCTGCTGCATTGTGGCGCGGGACGCACTCTGACGGATGCCGCACTGACTGCCACTGGCCTCCGCCCCGCCACCGCCTGCAGGCCCTTCGGAGCAGCCGCGCACGTACAGCCTGCGCATCCGGTGAAGACCTCTAGCCTGTTCTACGCCTGGACACCCGCAGCTGCACACCCAAGATCACTGCGCCCATCTAAGGGTCCACCCCTGCATTCACGAGCGTCTTCCCTTGCAGCCTTTTCAGCAATCCCAATCCTCGGCCTTCGTTGCACTGCTTTGCCCTTGCCTCTCCAAGCTTTTCCTCACAGGCACTGTCCTTCGGCTGCAGTTTTCCCTCTGAGTTGTCGTGAGCTACCCAATGGGGCTCCTCCCGCTCTGCCCACACAGCTCGCCCGCCTGAACCTCTGTTCCCTCCTTGACCATTTGATGGCACTCCCCGATTGGGATCCCATCAATCTGTTCCCTCTTTTGAGTGCTTCTGCACCTCGTTCTTGTTGTCGCAGGGAACAGCAAAACGTCCTGTGCTGCCTGCCTGGCTATGCATGTAACATCAATTGAATTCATCCAGATCCGCTGAACCGTCACACGCAGCTGGTGCCCGGCTGCCCGGCCCTAGGGGCAGGAGGCCGCATAGCTCAGGCCGCACCCCGGCGCCATGATGCCGGAAGTGCCCGTCCCAACGGCGGGGTGGAACCCGCGAAGCATGAGTGCGCGCTGGTAGACGCTGCAGGCAAGGCGAGCAGGCAGCAGAGGCGGCATGCGGGGAGGATGCTTGCCAGCAGCGGGGATGGGCGCTGCATGCCAAGGTCGCAGCCACACACCTGGTGCAGGGGCAGTCGGCCTGCAGGAACGGCCTGAGCAGGTCGCAGCAGCCGGCACTGGGAAGCGCAGCGGACTCGAGGTTGGCGGTGGCCTCTGCCACCTGCGCCTCGGTGGGCGGCGTGGTTGAGGTGCGCCAGTAGGCCAGGGACACTGCAGCAAACACACAGTCTGGTGCACGTCTGAGCCTCAGATAGGCTCGCAAACGCCACAGCGCGTCTTGGAAGGGTAGCGCTGCGAGGCGGCAGTCATGCACGGCGTACCACCTGCATCAATCTCGGGTGCACAGGCCGTTTGCATGGCGAATGCGATGGCAGGGCAATCCACCGTTTCAGGGGCAGGTGCCTGTGCTGCCACCGGAGGGAAAGCAGCAGCGAGCAGCAGCACCGCCAGGCTGCAGAGGCGGATGACAGTGGACATGCTGACGCAGCACAAGGTGGGCCAGAGTTGTTTCCAGAGTTGTTTACACAACAAGGTTCTCCACCGCGGCGGGCGCGCTATGCTGACGGGGCATTCCCTCCCTGGCGCAGTGTTTCGGCAGTTCTCCTGGCAGTCAGGCTATGCTTGCACAAGGCCAGCCTCTGCGGGGCTCAGAGCCCCCGCATGCGAGTATCAGCTTGGGGAATAACCCTGCCCGGCCCTCCCACCCCGGCGCCCCCACTGAGGTCATCACAAACACATGCGCTTCTTTTTGTCATCTCCGCTGGTGTGGGCATCTTATGGAGTCGCCGCCCTGGCTGCAATCCCTGGGCTGACCATGCACCGACGCAGCAGGGGGCTACAGGAGCAGCCCAGCACTCCAGTCGTCAGTGGAAACGCGGTGGAGGCCCCAGGGAGCAGCGCACAAGGTGGGGCAAAAGACCCGCCGCCATGCGCTGCCGGCACCCGCTCCCGCCATTGTTCGCCCAGGCGCCAAAATGGTTGCATCTGCTGTCGCCTGATGCAACAGCTCTTGCCGCACTTCAGGCATGCCTAGCTGGAGCTGGCAGCGCGACGGCGAGGCTCATGCTGTATCAAGCTCGCCGCGGCAAAATGTGCCCAGCCCCGCCAGGTGAGACGCTGGTTTAACGCGATTTCCTGGAGCTGTACCTCAGGTCCAGGCTGGTGCTGGCTGCTCCATGCAGGCCACACCAAATGCGCCTTACCTCACGAATCCACGCACCTTGCTTCCGCTTAATGCCTGCAGCTGAGATGATACACTAGCTGGTTGTACATCCGCCCTTCCGTTTGCTCGCGCCACGGCCAAAGCCACCCAGACTGCGGGCGGCAGCTCACCAGACCCAGACCTCAAGCCTGGCTCTCAAACAGTGCCTTTCAATCCCCTTTGCTGTCTGGCGCGCGATGCATTGTGTCAAGCACAATGTCTGTTCGACGCTCCCTGCATTTTGCTCCCAGCATCAGCGCATTCATCTTTGCCATCCATCCATTCAACCATCTGTGCATGCCAGTGTTGTGCCTTGTACCATAACTGTTACCCAACCCATCAGCAGTTAGATACAGTACACACTCTCCTATTTGCGCTTGCAGCCTCACTGATGGCATCGGACGGCCGTGACCGCTGGCCTCCTCTGCAGCTGGGTTGTCTTGCCGCTGATCAGCTACTGCACTGGGGAGAGATGATGACCTTGCCGTTACAAGGAAGTGGCCTTGCAACATTGATGCAGCGCCTCAT